AAGGGGCAGTACCTGTGGCCCTTTGTTAGGGATCCCAATTCGTCGGTCATCCGACGTGACGTCGAGAGTGACCGACTGAAAGGGAACGTCTCGGTTACGTATGGTAACCCTCGTTCCCTGAAGGAGGGAACGGAGATGTCACATCCCGTCGCCACAGCTCCTGTACCACCGCTGAGCGGCCGGGTCACCGGCTCGGCTCCTCAGCGAAAACCTGAATATGCTCTGCATCTGCTGTCTAGTTATACTCACGCTGTGATCAGCGGCAACTGGATGCAATAATCGCATGCCAATGTGCATTGGCTCGTTTAGTTTACACTCGAAGTAGATTGGTCTCTCTAAGCGAGATCCCAATTCGTCGGTCATCCGACGTGACATCTCTGTTCCCTCCTTCAGGGAACGAGGGTTACCATACGTAACCGAGACATTTAGTTTACATATTTTAACATTGACACCCCATCTGAAATAATATTTCAGCTTTCTCTGCTGCATCGGTTTAAGATATTTGACACAGAACGCGATTCTGTTTGGGACGCTTCTGTATTTTATGGACACACTGAGAAAGATTTTAGATAAAGATTTTACGTTTTTTTTGGTTTTGTGCGTTATTCCACAGCATGCTTGTTTTCTCAACAGATTGCATTGTTACAATATTCGAAACATGATCGTTGCAAATAAGTGTTACACTTGAAATATAATGCGTTTGTTTGAGCAATCGTCATTTTCCATGTACTGTAAGTGAACGTCTCAAGATAACGGGGGAGGGGTTTGTGAATCCTGTTAAGCTACCATGTGAAATTGTTAAAATGACACTAAAACTGTGTTGAATACATTAGCACAGTCATTGAGGAAAAAAATCACAGTCTAATAGTTGTATCAACATTTATTAAGAACATTAAGAATGTACCAAACGTGTTTTCTTTGCAGCTCCATAGTTCGCATCTGATGAATCTGCTGGAAAGTGAAATAAAAGGGCTTACGAGCACGCACACATCCCCCTGCTTAACACGATCCCCTATTGATCCATAACACCGGTACTTCCTACTGTGGTAAATGTCGTAGAATTCACTGAATAAATCTGTGAAAAACAATCTTACTTATTGTAGAAACAACTCCACCCACTCGTCCATTCAGCGCCATCCAATAGCAGCAGCTGTCGCACTATTTATAGCCTACTATACATTCCTAAACCATAAATACAGTAGAATTAAATCCATATAGGCATTAGAGCGCACACTGCGCACCACTGACTTCAGGAGTCTTACCAAGAACGAGAATCAGTTCTTCAAGATCTAAAAAGTATGTTCCTAACTATTGCTTGGTGAATCAGTGATTCTTGAGACATGGGACAAAACATGTCCAGCAATTGTAAGTGCTATTTGGTTTAAAAATAAAAATATTTTCAATTGTAAATGTTATGGGGGATTAATAATAGAATGTATGTAACATAATTACCCCCTTTCAATTTAATTTTATCATTATTATGCGAAATCTATTACACTTATTGTCTTCTCACTACATCTAAATCAGCGTGTCCACAGAGAAGGTTTCAATCATTCATATGCTATAAAATAAATACAAATGATTTTTAATGATGAAAAAGAGCTTGTTTCATCAAAAGCAACACTTAATAATATCTCATAGCAAAGCAAGGTTGTTTTTCAGTGACACATGCATGTTTCATAAGGTTTCAGAGTTGTTTCCCCACTTTTTGTCAACACCGTCAGACATTTATTAAAATGTAATAAAATCAGGGAATATCAGGGGCAGCTGTCACTCTAAAGGACCCCCTTGCCACAGTTCACCTCTGCAGAGTACATCAGTGTCAGACAGGCTCTGCTAAGTTTTATAGTTTTAGAATATTTTAAATCTTAATTTTAATATTTCCTGTGTCACAGCCATGATATGTCAACACCATTTTCCAATTTCTGAGGAAATTATTTGAAATATTTAGATCATTTTATTCTCCTGAAGCAGGTTCCATTAGCATCTAGCATCAACAGAAAAAAAATAAAAAATACTACTACATGAACTCCGCCATATTTGTCAACACGTCAGATGTCACCACCATAAGATTTTGTGTTCCAATGATATATCAAAATACTTCAATGTGACTCTTGAATAAAAGCTTTATAAACAATAACATACTCACTGTTTGTTGTGTTTGTTTTAATACAGTACTTGACTGATTCAATGTATTTGATAGTTAAAATGACTACAAATTCAGGTTTTTGTCACCACCGTCAGATGTGCCACCTCCGTCAGTTGAATATTTAGATAATATTTCATTATGATATTTTATATTTGTTGTGGAATTGTTGGTCACATGTGAACGTGTAATGTGTCTGCTAACACGAGAATGTGTTTTGAAATGTTAAAAACATCTTGATTGCTGTTAAAGATAAAGCTAAAAATATATTACACAGTCCAAGGTAAAAAAGCAGATTTTGTTAAAAAAGAGAAAGGTTGGGAGGTTGTATCAAAGCATAGCTCAGTAGCTTAGTACATATAAGACACATAAATGTAGTTTCATTTGTCTGTGCACAAAGTTTTATTTTTTCAATTTTGCACCCTCCCACTTCTCAAGAATAAGTGGAATCAATAGCTTTTTTATTTTGACTAAGCAGCTGAAGATGAATAATAACTGGTTATTTATAGGCTGTATGGATTTTTTACAAAGGTATTTCAGCACAGGCCGCTGGGATTGACCAATCATAAATCACAATCAGTATTTCAGAAGCTGTGCAATAAAATAAATACATTTGAACGTAAAGTGACATTTTTGTGATATTTGAAACAGAATTTTATTAATGGTTTCTATATGTCTTTCTAGGTGCACATCCAGTGGAAAATTTGGTTACACTTTATAATAACTTTAATTAATAAATCATTAATAAACATTACATAATGTTTAACTAATCATTACTTAATATATATTCACATATCTAGAAAATTGAGATAATGTGCTTGTTAATGTTAACTAATGAACTTATTAAGCATTACCAAATGATTAACAGATCATTATTTCATGTAAATTTAAATGCTTACAAATGTCATTAAACTATCAACTCATATGATCATGCTTTTTTTTAAATCTTCAAATGATTTTGACAGATGGTTTACAATGATTAAAAGCTTCATTAATAAATCATTAACAAACATTATATAATGCTTAACTGATCATTAGTTAATGTTTACAAATGTCATTCTACATTCAATGCGTTTTAAAAATCTACAAATGATTTTAACAGAAATTATACAATATTTACAAGCTTACTTGTTGATGTATTTTTGAATGCTTACAAGTGTCATTAAACTTACTTCACATATTAGATAATGCTCATTTTTACATTTACAAATGTTGAGAAAATATAGCTTAATTATTCATTTTAAGCACTTCACAAACTATTCATGTTAATATAATTAACTCATAATCACAGTCTGTAAAGGTCATATATTTGGTCTTTGTTTGTTGTGTAGACTTCTATTATTTGCACATCTTAAATCATTTATTAATAATTTGTTCATGTTTTTGCAGTACCCAATCTAAAGTGGAAACTATTCATCAATTATAAATATTTATAAACATTTACTAATCATTAGTACCTTCATGAGCAGTTATTTTGATGGCAAAAAGTGTCCCAAATGACTGGAATTTACCCTATTTTCACGTCTTTACAAATCATTTATTGATCATTTGTTAATGTTTTTGCAGTACCCTAACGTGGAGACTATTACTCATTTGTAAATGTTTATAAATATTTACACATCTTTATTGGCACTGGACTTTTAGCTACTTTAACAACATTTGTTGATATATCACATAAAGACATATCACACATTGTAATTTGGGTGCAAAACATATTTTATCACCTCAACACTTATATTAGTATACTAGTGTGTATCATTAAACAGAATATTCCTCGAGTCATACAGTAACAGGAGGGGGAAGAAATCTTCACGAAAATACTTCATTTATAATTTATTAAAACAATGCAATATAAACAGATTGAATCGTGTTCCCTTATAGTAATCAAACTGACCCCTGTACACTTCTTGACCCCTTACCCAACCCTTAAACCTACACTGTAAAAAAAATCTGTGACATTTACGGTAAAATACCGGCAGCTGTGGTTGCCAGAACTTCACCGTTAAAAATATGGTAGAAACATTTTAGATTTTACAGACTTAACTTAAATTCACATTAAAGAACCATATTTCATTAACTGATGTAATGTTAATAAACCAGCATATTGAAGTACTAATATATGTTTTAAACCATTGAAATGCTGATAACCACCAAAAACAGGTGGTGATGAGAAAGTCACATAATGAACCAAAGCTCATCACAATAAGCTCTTCCAAAAGCTGAGAAGGAAAATACTAATATATATATACATAGAAGGTGCACAGTGTCATTCACACAAACACTAAACACCATCATGGTAACTGAAATAATGCAATAAACATTCATTTAACAACATTAGATGTAAGATAAAACACTAATGCACACAACTGATAAGAAAAAACTAAGAAGAAACATAGTTATTTCAACGAAAAAACATAAAATATGAAGTGTCATGCAGGGAATTCTGGGAGTGTCAATTTACAGTTTTTCACTGTAAATTATACAATGACTTTTTCTTTTTCACCTCCAAAAACCGTAATTTTAACAGTATTTTACTGACAAATTACATTAAATGTAATTAACTGTGAATAACCGTACAGTTATTCACCGTATATAGTATGGAAACTTACTGATAACCAATTAACAGGTTTTTATTGTAGCCTTTTTACAGTCTTTTACTGTTAAAATCACAATAATTGTTTACAGTGTACCCATACACCAAACCTGTCCCTAACCCTACCCGTATCACACCTCAATAACAGCAAAAGTGTTGTGCATTAACAAAAGCTTTTAATCATTGTATAACATCTGTTAAAATCATTTGTAGATTTTCAAGATGTGCGTGATCATATGAATTAGAAGTTTAACGACATTTGAATGCTTTTTATTTACATGAAAAGTTCTTTTTTAGGTAATGTTTAAAACATTAATTAGCCTAGTAAACATTAACAAGCACATTATTTCACGTTTCTATAGATATGTGAATATATATTAAGTAACGATCCGTAAGCATTAAATAATGTTTGTTAATGATTTATTAATTGAAATTTACGGGTTTGTTTGAATCTCATTCAGCCACGGCGGCCGCACCCGCAACAAGCATGCATGGACCCCCAGCAAACATGTTCGATACCGTCCCTGGATATGAAGGAACAGTGGCTGGCGGAGGCGGTAAGAAGCATGCACGTTATATCAAACACCAAAGAAGCTAAACAAAACGCTTCAGCATGAGAAAATGTGCTCGGGCTCATATGGTGCATTCAAGTCATGTCGGATAGATCATATTTACAAGTTGAAAGCACATAAACGTCACCACAAAATAGTAATTACAAGTGGGAAACTTTTCTTTAAGCCCCAAGTTTCCGAATAGAGGGCATGTTAGTGCAAGTTGCATGTACAAAATACCATAGTATTGTACAATTACCATAGAATATATAACAATTAAATTTACAGCACCTTCATAAATTTTATAAAAACATATAAAAGCAAAAACACACAGATGCACATTCTCTTTTCATCATTTTGTAGATGTAGAGTTAAAAAAACATGTTGAATTTTATGTACAAAATGTACATTGCCATCTTGGTCCGACAAAACGATTTAAATGCACCTGACGTTGTAAATACAAATTTTCCAGAAGGACTTGAATGCAACAATAGACCTTATAGTGTTTAGAGCACAGAAATACATGAATGAGCTCCTAGTTTTGTTGCTAGTGTTGTCTCTGTTTTCACAGGTGGGTATCTTCCACCTCCAATGCCATCTGTACCGATGCCTGTGCCTGAACAGGCCCCCAGCCCACCAGACTGGCAGTAAGAGCTTTTTCTCTATACAAAAAACACTCAATGCATTTAATCTTAAACACACACCTATGATATGCAATGTTCATACAAAGATGGGCAGGGAACACTTTATAATAGCTTTCATTAATAAATCATTAACAAACATTATGTAATGCTTAACGTATCATTAGTTCATATATATTCACATATTTAGAAATGTGAAATAATGTGCTTGATAATGTTTACTAATAAATGTATTAAACATTACCTAATAATTAACATTTCGTGTAAATTAAAATACTTACAAATGTCATTAAACTTCTAATTCATATGATCACGCACATCTTGAAAATCTACAAATGATTTTAACAGATGTTATACAATGATTAGAAGCTTTTGTTAATGCACAACACTTTTGCTGTTACTGAGGTGGGATACAGGTAGGGTTAGGGATAGGTTTGGTGTATGGGTAGGTTTAAGGGTTGGGTAAGGGGTCAACAAGTGTACAGGGGTCAATTTGATTACTATAAGGGAACACGATTCAATCTGTTTATATATTGCATTGTTTTGATAAATGATAAATGAAGTATTTTCGTGAAGATTTCTTCCCCCTCCTGTTGTTGTATGACTCGAGGAATATTCTGTTTAATGATACACACTAATATACTAATATAAGTGTTGAGGTGATAAAAACATGTTTTGCACCCAAATTACAATGTGTGATATGTCTTTACCTAGCATTTAGCTAAACTTAACTAAACACCCTTTACACAAACGTTGTTAAAGTAGCTAAAAGTCTAGTGCCAATAAAGATACTAAAAAATTTATAAAAATTTATAAACATTTACAAATTATTAATAGTCTCTATGTTAGATTGGGTACTGCAAAAACATTAACAAATTATTCATAAATGATTTAAGATGTGCAAATAGTAGAAGTCTACACAACAAAAAAAGACCAACTATATGACCTTTACAGATTGTGATTATGAGTTAATGATGAATATATTAACATGAATAGTTTGTGAAGTGCCCTTAACTGTCACCGTCCCACCTGTGGGACGCTTGGCGCTCTTTTTTGTTGATGTCCTTTTTCTCTATCAAATCTTTTAGTAATCATCATAACTTATATATCATTTGAAAGCTTAGAAGCCCAAAATTCATCCTGTGAAAACCATTTTGAAATCGGACATTGCTTTACATGGAAATGGCAAATCTTTTGGCGGTCTCCTCCCCCTTAGTGGGCAGTATCAAGTGTCATATTACAAAATGCATTATGGTCTTTTAGAATCAAACCTTTTTGTAATCTTGACAAAAAACATATCATTGGAAAGGTCTGAGTCTCAGGATTCCATATATGGGGGTTATTTAGAGATTTTTTTTTTTTAGAAGTAATATTGACAGAGAAATCTAGACATTTGTGACAGAAAAATGCATTAAAAAAATTCAATGGAGTTTGGATGGCACCCGGTGGCTCTTTGTGGTATAACACCCTAAATAAAATCTCGCAGGAACCTCAATTTTTTTTCATATCACCTTCAAATTTGGAACATAACTTAGTTAGACATAAGGCTTTAATGTTCCAAATTCTCCAATTTATGTACCCATTTTAGAGTAAAACATGTTATGTAAAATATTTATTATAAATAAAATAAAATAAAATTAATATAGTGCAATAGTGATTCTACTTTTGCAATAATCTGCTGTTTTTCTTCTTTAAAAAGAGACCAACCTTAGGTCTGTATTCCAAAGTGTTCATAAATTACAACAATTTAAGTTTGGATAGTGCACTTTAGCTATATTTTCACAACATTTGTAAATGTTGAAATGAGCATTAGCTAATATGTGAACTGGAGTTTAATGACATTTGTAAGCATTCAAAAATACATTAACAAGTAAGCTTGTAAATATTGTATAATTTCTGTTATAATCATTTGTAGATTTTTAAAATGCATTGAAAGTTTAATGATATTTGTAAACATTAACTAATTATCCGTTAAGCATTATATAATGTTTGTATATTATTATTAATCATTGTAAACCATCTGTCAAAATCATTTGAAGATTAAAAAAAAAGCATGATTATATGAATTGAAAGTTTAATGACATTTGTAACCATTTCAATTTGCATTACCAAATGATTAACAGATCATTATTTAATGTTTAATAAGTTAATTAGTTAACATTAACAAGCACATTATGTCATATTTCTAGATATGTGAATATATATTAAGTAATGATTAGTTAAACATTATATAATGTTTGTTAATGTTTTATTAATGAAAGTTATTTTAAAGTGTTACCGATGGTGTCAGGATTATGGACCTGTTTTGCTCCTGTTTCTGTTTCAGTGTTCCCTTATTTGGTAATGTTCCTGTTCTCGTTGTCTCATTATTAGTTGATTCCTTGCACCTGTCTGTCCCTCGTTAAGTTTATAAATGTGTAGTCTGCCTCATGTTTCCTTGTCGGGTCTTGTACGTCTTCCTTGTGCTCTGTGTCTCCCTGTTGGATTATTAAAGACTCTTGTTTTGTGAAATCTCCATGTCTCCTCGTTCCTCCCATAAGCAAAGTGTGACAGATGGGCATTCTTCATTTAAATAACAGTATTTTTAAATAATTGGCTTTAACTTCAGTACAGAAAAACTTAGCAAAGAAATGTTGTCTATATAATTTTGTCAGTCAGTATATGTACTGTTGCTGCTTTTATATTCACCTTGCAGGGGATCATCATATTTTGAGAGTTTTGGCATCAAAACGTTTGAAAGCTTTATCTAAAATGCATTCTGCTGATTTACCTTTTTAGCCCATTATTCTGCACTATGACCTGAATGCGGTGTGTCAGTTTAGTAAAACACCTAAAAAGGGTCATGGAGGTACTAAAAATGTCACAACACACCCTGTTAGACATGTGCAAAGGTCACTTACATATTGATATTTTCTCTTTGATATCAGTATACCCTCCATCTCAGAGGACAGGGCACGTCAAGCTTTCGCAACGTACGTCTCCAGCAAGTGCTGCTATAGTTCTGCCCCCGTCAGAGAGGGAGTCATAACCAATATGGAGTCCTTTAATACCTACAGGGTGAGACCTACAATAAATCATCTTCATTATGACCATCGTTGTCTTCTTTGGTATGTTTTTGTACATATAATGTTTAAGACATATAATTTTAAGGCGTGGAGGCGGATGAGCAGGTTCTTACGGAAATGGTTTGGACTACCCTGAAGCCTAAGCAGTATCGCTTTATACGGGCAAAACAACGAGCTGAAACTCCCCATCAGCAGCCTGAATGAAGAATTCATGGTGACCCGCACTTGGGAGTTGCTGCAATACTAGGAGTCCTCAGACCCAAAAGTCTCTCAGGCAGGGATTGAGGTCAGGACAGGGCTGAAATGGAAGGCATCTGTGGCCATGGATGTTGCTGAGTCACGTCTGAAGCAAAGGGCACTGGTGGGCACAGTGGTTCAAGGAAGAGCAGGCCTGAGCAGCAACACAGCGTCGTGCTATGGCAAGGCAAGGAGGAAGGATATGACGTCGCAGCTCCAGGATGAGGTCAGAGCATTGCTTGAGGAAGTGCGAGCCAGCAGGATTGTTGGGATGCAACAGCAGGGAGCCTGGACAAGGTGGGAACAAGTAGTAGAATGCAAAGTTACTTGGGGCAAGCTCTGGAAATCTAAGCCCCACTGAATAAAAATCTGAATCCAGGCTGTCTATGACATTCTACCAAGCCTGTCCAATCTTTTCTGCTGGGAAAAGGTAGAGTCACCAGCTTACCCTCTGTGCCTGAAGAAAGAGACCCTGGATTACATCCTCGGCAGCTGTCTAAGAGCCCTGAGTGAGGGGCGCTATCGTAGGTGTCATGACAAAGCTCTGAAGAGCATGGCACAGGATTCCTCAAATCCGATCCTGAAGGACCACTGCCCTGCAGAGTTTAGCTCAAACCCTGATCAAACTCAGATACCAACTCCAGCAATTTGGCTGTGGATCAGGAGAGGAGAGCCTTGGGTGGGGTAGTGCTACCTGGACACAAGTTGGGGCTTGATTAAGACTGACTGGGTCACATGGGCGAGGGTGTCTGATTATTGAAAGACCCGAAACACCAGATGACCCCAGGAAACATCACTGATGATGTGTCCAGAAGCATCACATGCTGATAACATGTTAAATCCTGATGTGATTTGTGGTTGATAGAACTAAATACTGCTTCTGTTCTCAGTATCGTTTGGAGACGTTCATGGAGTCCAGATCTACTGAATGGAGTCAGGAGCCTTACACAGGTACCCAGAAGTCAAATAGGGCATGTTTACACTTCATGCTGTCTTTTGCTTTCATTTACAATGGATATAAATCTGATCTTGTATTCCTGCACTATATTCAAATCTTACATGATGCAAATGCCAGGAAGGAAAATGTTCCTTCATTTAATGTGGCTCATAATCAATAAAAGCATAACATTTCAGGTCAGCCTGTGGATGCTGGTGTTCAACCTACTCCAGGTCCGTGGCAGATTGCAGCTCAACCTCCGGCCTTCTTTCAAGAGTGCAAGCAGACAATTAAAGTGCCCTATACTTCCTCAGTCAAGGTTTGACCTTTAACCACATGATCCACAAAAATTAAGAAAGCAAGTCCCATTCGACACACTTTAGCCACTTTTCCATGGTCTGACCGAACGGTTCTAAGAATGGTAAGCAATTTCCACTTGAGCTTGGTTTGGCACAACACGATTATAAACCGTTCTCAGCCTGCAATTCTGAGCACAGTTGGCTGGTAGAATGTCTGTAGTGATGTCTCCACTCAGAATTGGTCACTTGATTGTTGTCTGCCCACTAGTTCTCTCTCTCTGTAGCTGACCAAGTGCACTATTTGACTGAAGTAAATAGAAATATCTGATCATCCTCCATAACATGATCGCTATTTACATCTCATATCGTATGTAAACACTTGCGTTACCAAAGCAACGACGATGAATTTGTATTGGAGCTCTGTTATCAGGCCCACAGTGGAAAATGAAACCAAATCCATACCGGCTGGGCGGTTCGGCATGGAATGAAATAGATTAAGCATTAGAACGGTTTGGCCTGATGGTGGAAAAGTGGCTACTGTACAGCATTTCTGCATGAAAACTCAACACATTCTAAAGGGTTTGGCAGCATTTTATTTAATCTTCTAGATCACCAGAACATTCATTTGAATTGTTCTGTTTGTAGAGCACAACAGTCGAGTTCCGGAATCAAAAGTCCTATTCATTTTCTCAATACGATAGTGAATTTAAAATGATAACTTAAAAACCTTTAAAGACAGACTTTAAAGACAACCTCAGCTATGTTAATCGATGGTTCACGCTTTGTTGAAGCCATCAGCCCGCATTATTTTCTATGAAACTTATTTTAACAAACGTACTTTTTAAATAATCATGTTAAAATCCAGAATTCATGTCATACCCATGATTCTGCAAAGAATCGTGACAAGCAAATTGTACCAAAAAAAAAAAACTCTCAGATGAAGCACTATGAATGATATAATTAGTCTCTCTGCATTTTCAAAATACTTTGTAATGCTGTGATTTTTACCTCATAGCTGGTTTGGTTTGCTTTCGTGGCTTATAACTCTTTAACAATGACTTTTTAAAATCACTATGGGACAAATGAATGGGACAAAGAAATAGGTCTGGAACCAAGGTTGCTGAAAAAGTGTTTTAATCTCTAAAGTACAAATGCTTTTTGGCTTCCTGCAGCAGCAACATAACTTGCCAGTAATGGTTATGTTCAGTAAATCGGATCATATTTTAGAGCATTATATTCTGTTTGCACCCTAGAACTGTCACTTGTGTCTGGGAATGGGAAAAACCCCCTGTACCACCTGTGCTGGAGCTGGAAATGTAAGTACATTTTGACTAGCACAGACCGAACCAGCTGCATGCTGGGCATTTAATTATCAAAGTTGTTTTCACAGTGGAAAATATGGCACTTGTATTAAAAGTATTAAAAGTGTGGTGACTGGAGAGCAATTCAAGTTGAATTGTACTGGAATTGTGCGCACAAGCCACAGAATGTTTTTTCATTCAGTTCATCATATGACGTAAATACCCTAATATATGACCTGTTTCTCCTCTATTGTTTTCCATGTGCAGAAAGTCTGTAGGGTGTGTAATGGTTCTGGTTACCGTCAGTCTGATGACCGCTGCACGCACTGCAATGGGCGCGGACGTGAAAAGTAAGTCCTTTATAGCTGTATATAATGAGACATTTTTATGAAACAGGTTTCTTACTAAAAAAAATAATTTCTATTTATTTTACAAATGTTTTTATTTAATTTATTGTATTTTAATAACTTTTGTGGCTACTGTGGGTTGAATTCTGATTAAATCCTGCAGAGGGCTTCAGTGGTTTGGTTGGTATTTTCTGAGTTCTGACTTATCTGGTGTCTTTCAGCTGTAGTTCATGTAGCGGCAGCGGCTCTTGCCAGTGTGACACCTGCCATGGAAAGAGACAGCTGCTCGTCTTCATCAACCTCAATGTTAAATGGTATGATCTATATGATATAACATTCATGTTTGCTAAGGCAGGCATTGCTATTATTACTATATTAACTAGCTCCTCAGTCACTGTTTGTGCTATATACATGAATCCTGCAGTATGAGGAGAGGTTTGCTGTTATGTTTCTAAACGATCATACTCATAGACTTGCATTGAAGTCATTCTTTCCACAAGAGAGCACTCATTTACAGTTTCTTTGAAATAAAAATAAATCAAGTAATTATTATTAATTATTTCATGATAATCAGAAGTCTTTCAAACTGAACTGTCTCATTCTAAAAGCTATTTTTGGACTATTTCAGGAGCACTGAGAAGGATGAATTCGTAGCGCAAGATTCAAGTGGTCTGAGAGGGCAAAAACTGGAGGAGGTTTCAGGGAAGGAGCTCTTCAAAGACGCCCAGAATATGGTACGTACATATGGTAGACCGTACATAGAGTGAGAGGTTTGTAAGGTTTGTTGAAATTTGTAAGTTCATCAGATGGTTATGTTTACTGTAGGTCTATCCAGTGAGGGGCTTTCCTGATGTTTCTGTTGCACAAGCTTCTGAGCGCTTTGTAAGAGACCATCAGGTGAAATATGCCCAAAAGTCCCGCATGTTACAACAGGTACCACTGTCTTCATATGTTTATGTGCTTCCAGACCTTTTTATATTGTCATTTTTATCACTTGATTATTATCATTCATAATTTTCAAATATAATTTGTATTTGTATGTTTGTATGTAACAAAACAATGCAAATAACAAACTGTGCTATATCATTACCAGTCTGTCTGTAACAAGAGACAATCATCATGCTGAATCTTGAATCTGTCATTCTGTAATTTAATCTGTTTCAGAGGCAGACAATCGAGCTCATTGCCATAACCAAAGTGAACTACATGTGGAAAGGAAAGCCTAATGTTTACTATGTGTATGGAAATGAGTTTAAAGTGAATGCTGATTACTATCCCGCCACTTGCTGCTGTTCTGTAATGTAACATCAAATACACCTGACCTGATGTACAGTATAATATAAATGCTGTACATCTGTTAAGACATGCTAGTGACATGCTAGTAATTTTCTAATCATGCTAGCGACATGCTAGTTACTTGTTAAACGTGCTAGCAACATGCTAATCATGCTAGTAATATGGTAGTAACAGGCCAATCATGTTAAAAACATGCTAATCTTGCTAGAAACATATCAACATCTATCTAATCTATCTAAATTTTCAAACTTCAGGCTTTTACAACTGCTTTAAACTTTCAGGCTTTCTCAAGCCAACCTAAAGTTCGTCTTGACGAACTTTTTTATCTAGATTGTATGTTTGCATACAATAAAACAATGCAAATAACAAACTGTGCTATATCATTACCAGTCTGTCTGTAACTAGAGACAATCATCATTCTGAATTTAATCTGTTTCAGAGGCAGACAATCGAGCTCATTCCCATAACCAAAGTGAACTACATGTGGAAAAGAAAGCCTAATGTTTACTATGTGTATGGAAATGAGTTTAAAGTGAATGCTGATGACTATCAGCTGCTGCTGTTCTGTCATGTAACATCAAATACACCTGACCTGATGTACGGTATAATATAAATGGTGTATATCCGTTAAGATGAACAAATGTAATGTGTCTTCTGCCTATACATCCCAGAATCATGACATCTGTAGCTGACAGACACAAAACTCAACCTGTCCGAATGGAGCGTTGTTTATGCAGCTTAACCATGTACATTGTATGTAACATTTTATGTCACCTGACTCAATATAACCAAATGTGAATTACTAAACCTCTTGTAGATTGCATGAATTTTTCTAACTATTGAAGAATATGAAGTATAGTCTATAGTAAATCTATAAACTAAAACAATGTATTGAGATTAAGAAAGTCAAAATAAACTGAGTTTTGAGAAAAGACCCCAAAACTTGTATTTGTTTATTTGCATTTTGTTTAAATTTTTTGTATTTTATTTAAGACTAGACATTCAAAGCCAAACAAGGTTCATACCCGCCAACACTCATTAAATACAACCACAAATCAGAAAAAGTTTGGACATTTTGTAAAGAAATCAAGAATCTGTGAGTCCCCATGCTAACTGCACATCATCGCTAACACCACGTGAAATGGGCCCAAGATCATCAAGATTGGACAGTGGAGGATCGGAAGAAAGTGGCCTGATCTGACGAATCAAGATTCCTGGTGCATCACATCGATGGCTGAGCGCAGATAGGGTGATTACTAACAGAGGCTATGGCACCTGAATGCACTGTGGTGCGGACAATGGCCGGCGGCAGCAGTGATATGCTGTGGGCGATGTTTTCTTGGGACACTTTTGGCCATATTATGCCAATAGCAAAATCCCTGACAGCAAGGGCATAGGTTTGATTTTGGCATTGGTGGGGACGTAATGGCAGACAACAGACATTTGATTGTTTAATCAAAATTATTGCTTGGGACATGTCATTGCATCCCAAGTAAATTATCTATATAATGACAATAAGTCAATAATAACTCCAGAGAAATAGTCTTGGTGAATATGTCAGCATTCACCATATTCAGTAATTTCCTGCCCACATTCCAGAAATGATAGCACAGCTGATTTGCTCATTCTAGGAGCTATAAAAAGATGTATATGTGAAAAGTGATAACTGCTGACTCAGACAGTTTTTTGAGAGATCAACATCAAATGCTGTACGACATATAACTGCATTGCTTGAATACAGGCATACAAATGGAAATGTGCAACTTTTCAGCTCTCTGTCTTTTCTGTTTGTGCATGAGATGGCCATGTTCATTCCTCATCCCCAACAGGACAGGTTTGACTGGCTTGCTGTGAATGATTTTCGTTGCATTTCTGGTCTTCCATTTCAGCTGTAAAACAATAAAAATATCTATTGACCCCATGTTTAATTATTGTTGTTTAAACATATTAAGACATATAAATTAAGTTATATTTACAGTATATATGTCAAGCTCAAATTCCCTGGCACCCCTGCAGGCTCTTGAGTTCATCTGTATAAATCATATTCAGAGTCTGAGAAAAGGCCATCATGCAAACTCTCTTTCTACCTTACAACAGAGCAAAAAAGAATGTGGAAGTGAGTGAGGGAGTAATGGAATAAGATGAAGAGAAACAGGCAGAGAGAGGCAGAATTGCGGTAAGTTTAACGGAATGAAAGGGAAGCAGTATTAGAAAAAGCTGTATCTTCAATAGCAAGCTATATTAATATGAATTACTTTAAACATGATTACATCCTACCAGTATTGTTGTAAGAAATTTAAAGGCCTCTTCACACCAAGGATGAGACCACACCGCAGCTATTTATCACCTGGAATCACTTTCAGAACAAATTTTTCCAACTGATTAACAATAAAAACAACGACAGCCAAACAGAATCCACCCAATTTAAAGAGCTTGAGCATTTAAATGGCAGACAACATAAGCGCAGCGCTCGCTTATAACAAACAGAACGTTATCGTCTGTTGGTGTGGATGCTAAAATAGTTCTTATTATAGTTATTGTTCTTGGTGTGAGCAGCCTTAAGTGATCTGATTTGGCCAAAATTAATTGAAGACCTGATGTGTCACATGACGAGTTAAACTAGCATTTCCAGACTCTTGCTCCTTAGACAGATGTGTTCAATAAAAATCAACATGCAAAGGAAGGCAGACTCTGAGGTGTGGACAGATAACAAAGAGAACGGAAAGAGACTGTGCCAAATTGTTTTGCTTGATACAAGACTTCAGCTGCTCAGCAGTCCGTGGTTGTCATTGTCTGATGGGCCATACATTCTCAATAGGACACAGATCTGGAGTGCAGGTAGGCCAGTCAAGCATGTCCTCTCTGTGTCTACGAAACCACGCTGTTGTAGCACATGCAGAATGAGACCTGGCATTGTCTTGATCTAATAACCATGGACTTGCCATTAAAGACGTCATTTTGATGGCAGTATATGTCTCTGTACAATCCCAGTATATGCCTCCATGTCAATGGTACCGTCGCACATATGCTCTGCTATACCACGACAGACGTTTGCTTTTGCATCTGTTGTTGATGAAAGTCTGGATGATGCTTTGGTCTTTGGGACTGAGAACTCAATGAACATTTTTCCCATAAACAAGTTAAAATGTGGACTCATCAGACCACAGCACACATTTTCACTGTCTTTTTGACTATTTGAGATGAGCTCTGGCCCAGAGAACCCTGCAGCATCACTGTTGTTGTATAGCTTTCTCCTAGAGTAACAGAGATTCAAGTTGCATTTATTGATGCAGCGGCAGACTGTGTTAAGTGACAGCGGTTTTTCGAAGAACTCCTGAGCCCATGTGGCTATATTTAACACTGCAGCATGACGGTTTCTTATGAAATGCCATCTGAGGGCTCAAAGGTCATGCACATTCAAATTTCCTGCCTTGCCCTACTCAGACTGAGATTTCTCTGGATTCCCTGAATCTTTTCACAATATTACGTACAGTATGGTAGTAGGTGAAAGACCTAAATTCTTTGCAATTTTGCATTGAGAAATGTGATTTTTGATTTGTTTGACACTTCTCTCATGAAATTTGGCACAAAGTGATGAACCATGATCCAGCTCTGCTTGCAAAGACTGAGGCGCTCCTTTTATACCCAAACATGATACCCTCACCTATTACCAATTCAATTTTTTGACTTAACTTGGTATCATGATTATGGCACTTAAAAAAATAAACATGGTACTGCTATGGGTTTTTTGGACATGACACTATGCTAGTACCATGGTATTCTTGGAAGTGCTCTGGAATATCATATAAATACCATGGTAAATAAACTTCAGTAGATGTATATATGAAAGTTCCAGGGAATTACTATCTGATGCAATCATTGCTCTATGGAACTGGACTTTTTCATAATTGTACTTTTCCCACATTTTTCTAACACTTGTCTTGGCTAGCCTACTTCACTGAAGGGGATAGTAGGATTTCTCAATTTACAACTGTACTATACAATTATTCACCCACTCCTCCAGTGCCATCCAATAGCAGCAGCTCTTGGATGTAAATTGTACATTCCTAAACCATAAATACAGTAGACTTAAGTCCACAGGCATTAGAGCGCACACTGCTCACTACTGATTTCAGGAGTCTAGGCACCTAATTTTTTGAGTGAAAAAATTATTATTTATGAATAATTTTCACAATATTAAATAAAAACTGATGAAAATTTGCACTGTTTATCGCACTAG